AACACTAACGTCGTGTATGGTTGCCTGACGTCCTTACCAGGATCCAGCAATCAAGAGACATGTTTGACTGGTGTCTACGCGCAGAAACCTGTTACATTTGAAATTCGCTACACCAACTGTATCAAGCGACTAGTAATTCAACCTTTTTGATGACGTTACCCCTAGACTTTGATATATTTCACGGCAGAGAAAAGCTGGAGCATGAATAGCTGCAGTGTTGTCGTTTTGCCACCACGTACCTTTCAGCAATAACACGGTGAATGGCCATGTTGAAAGTCACAAAAGCCTTGTACTAGGTTTGACATCTCCATCCATGTGATGTCACCCACTCACCCCCACCAGGTGTGTATGGGTTTCAGTTACACCAGCCCAGCTGATATTTTAGTTCCAGATCTTCGCTGCTACAACGATATGACGTGAGCGCCAGACAACAGGAATGGGACGCGTAAAATCATGTCCCTTTGACTGTAACCGTTACATAAAACCGAATATTTCCCGAGTACTTCTATGGTACTTTTTTCATAATCAACTAATCCATCAGCAGCTATCACATTAACATGTGTGCATATAGTCTGGCCTTAAAGGAGCAACAGAAATAAACAATGACTACCTCAGGCAGCTTCGTGTTCGAGTACAGACAACAAACCTAACACAGATACAAACAAAATGTCAACCTCTTGTAAAATCTGTGGTCACATTCAGCGTAAGTCATCATGTGAAAAACTACAGCGCTTATTATAACGAAACCCGTAACTTTTAATCAGCTGTTGGATGTACATTTAAAAAGCACAATAATCATAGTACACACAGTGGTCCAATGTCAGATGATTGTTAAAGTATGGGATCTGATTAGGTGCAGTGTTAGGGACCGTTCACAATGTATGGCCAGGGGTGGTGGTGATGATTTTCATAGAGAAGCATGTACAATGTGAATGATCCCCCTTAAAATTTATGTACAAAGTAAGTGGTCAGTACCTGCTCCCTCGACCGTGATGGACACGGGGAATGGGAGAGAAAAACAATGACATAAGCAACAACCAGTCCACGGAAATTGCTCTGGATCAGTGCCCCTTTAAAGGATAGAGTTAAATACACCCCCGGGCCTAGCGTTCAGTGCAGTCATGGAGCAATGCTACAAATCTAACGAGGTACGCGCGTACGTGGATTGTTTTGGAACTTCACTCCGTATGGAAAATATTTCGTCCGGTTTGAGAACCCAACACTGCAGACTTCCCTCACAATGCAAAGCGTACTTCTAAATAATTGGTTGAGGAATTAAAAACACCATTTTTGACTTTAAGAAATCCATCACCAATATAAGTTTGTCCCCTTTGCTGATAAGTGTGCAAATATCTGAAATAATTCCTGTTATAGGTATGTTTTCCTGTTTCAGTCGTTACCTGCTCAAAATTGTAAAAAAGAATTTAAGGTGCCAGTATTCAATGAATGAATAACATTCACTCAATGTGTAAAGACTTGGGGTGTTAAAAGTTGAACAGATTCTATAGTACAAGGACGTTCTTATTCAGACAATGATATCAGATGAAAATAAACGTCTTCACGTCTTCACGGGGGGTGTTCGACCTACCCCTTTGAAACAATTCATGGATCCGCCTATGCATGACGATGTAGCATATGAATGCCGTGACCCGTGAAGATCCGGGGTAGAATAGGTCTTCAGCAACCCATGCTTGCCACAAAAAGCGACTATGCTTGTCGTAAGAGGCGACTAACGGGATCGGGTGGTCAGGCTCGCTGACTTGGTTGACACATGTCATCGGTTCCCAACTGCGCAGATCGATGCTCATGTTGTTGATCACTGGATTGTCTGGTCCAGACTCGATTATTTACAGACCGCCGCCATATTGCTGGAATATTGCTGAGTGCGGCGTAAAACTAAATTCACTCTCTGTGAATACCGTCAGCTCCTTTTAATTGGTTTCCTCACATCTGCAACAACGATGTCAACACATAGCAGCAATGCCGATGGTAACACCGCAGTGTAGTGATACCAGCACAGTCATCATATAAACACCTACACTATGCTACACAGCGCCACGCAGGTAAAAAACCACACTGCTGCTTTCATCGTATAGGTCTGTCAAGTTGGCACATCCACAGCTGTTCCTGTGGCTGGATGTTGTGGACTTGTTGTGTATGTGGCACCTCAGTATTCCATAACATGCCATGTGAATTACACAAGCCGTCAGTATAGAGGTGGAGACCACACTGGACAGATCTCCATGTTTCCACGTTTAGTCAGGGGGTGTTGTTTTGTGGACAATATCATCAGTGTGTTGTAGCTTACAACCACACATGATCAGCAGCGTCCGTTTTCATTTCATCTTGATTAGAATGTTAACAGTCAATGTCAAAATATCCGACTTCCTAATCTGTTGCTATTGCTGGTTAAGATATAGCGGATTACACGGACGAACCCATGCGCTCTTCACACAGTGATTGTCAGTGACACGACCTGTTTCCCTGTTATAACCATAAGCGTAATGTGTGGTGATGTGAAGAATCGAGGGTAACCAACTGTTCCCAGTAATATCACAACTAGTAATATCACAACTAGTAATATCACAACTTACACCGCTTATGACCCATGATGGTCCGGGTTAGAATGTGCCTTCAGTAACCCATGCTTGTCGTAAGAGGCAACTAACGGGATCGGGTGGTCAGGCTCGCTGACATGGTTGACATATGTAATCGGTTCACAATTGCGCAGATCTATGCTCATGCTGTTGATCACTGGATTGTCTGGTCCAGACTCGATTATTTACAGACCGCCGCCATATACTAGTAGCTGGAATATTGCTGAGTGCGGCGTAAAACTAAACTCACTCACTACACCGCTTATATGAGACTGATGGGGTGGGGGTTTGCAAGATAGGGTTGGTGGGTATGTGAATGTGTGGAGCGTCGCGGTGTAAAACCTGACCTACGGATTCACTTGCAGCTGGGGTTTTAGTTCAGCCAACTTATTACATTAGATCTATATTATGCTGTGTAGTCAGTTTGAAGTATAAACGATTGTTACAAACAATGTAAGTTGGTCGATGGGCGTTTCCTTATAAATAGTTGAGTGCAAATCATTCCAAGATGTGTGCTCGCTTGAGGAATTCCTCCAGTCAGGCCTAAATACATTTAACAGTGCAGATAGGTAAACCACCAACTAGTATCTTAGTGACCAGCATATCAGAACCTGGTAAATTACTGTTACAGTGTATTCCTGTAGCAGGGAACATTTACATATACGTTAAATAGAGATTATTAACCGAGTGTGTTTCCATATCATTAATATAATACGAGCCTTTGGCGATATATATGATATCAATGATACGGAAACACACAAGGTTAATAATATCTTTATCATATAATGTCATTCTTAAAATTACTCTTAAAAAAAGAAGCAAATCCAACGTGAATTTATATGAAGAGAATCGAGCATTCGCGTAAGAATACTTAGCGGTACACCAAGGTGAAGGTCGTTCATGACGGCGGCATATGGTTGTGACAAGTAGGTAATACAGTGCAAATATAACTCATGCTTAAAATGAGATCTTTCTGTCTAAAAACAACAACAAAATCGGACAGGGTTTTCCTGGCAGTGTTTCTATTTTCATGGTCAAGTTGGTGAGTCAATAACGAACATTAAAACGTTTTACAATGTACATAACAACTCGTTGTTTGTTGGATAGAACGACGTTTCAATGTGGATTCTTACACCGTTGTCAAGCTAAAAGTAATTACAACCTCGTGATGAGAGGTATATAATACAATGTGTTGTGAGAAGTAGCAGATTTGCAATACCAATAACAGGTAATAGATAACAAGTAGCACATAATTGGATGTGGCCAAGTTGAGAATAGAGGTGAGAATAGAGATTCAGAACCTGGAGAAATCCAGACTTGCTTCATTAAGTTTGTCATTAAGTTGAACTGATCATGAGGCTCCAATAGATCGAACTCACCACAAGAGGACGTTCAACGTTTGCTGTTTTACTCTGAAGCGTTAATTACAGATGTGATTGAAGGGAGATTCCTAGAAAAGCGTTAGTAAGAGATTCTGAGTAAATCGTGACTTGCTTGAGATGTTGCATTGATGAGAGGGTTGGGCGGAGGAAAAAGACTGTGGTTCAGGGGCTTTGAAACAGACTAGGATATTCCTGCTCAATAACCAAATCGCTCCAGACCTGATATGTTGATACTTGAGTTGAATGTCAAAGGCGCGACCAGCAGATCAGCGAAGTCATCTCACAATTGTTGTTTTTCCGTATTTGGGTACACAAAATATAATATCTTCCCTAAATATGTTATGTTACATACATTCACGGAATATGATTTTCAAGAAGCACATATCCGACAGTTGGCGAAATGTAAATGGGCTGAAATACACATTCACAGAATTATTTAAGAATTGTGATATTTTCACATTAAATTAATTTATTAATAATTTTGTTTCCCTGAAAATGTGACAGCAAGTCAGGAAACCTGAACATAAATCCATTTAGTAGCCCTAGCGTCCAGCAGGAGTTGTCGGGGATGTATTCTATCTCGGAATTCCTCCCCGCAATATGTGTATCTAGACATGTTAATGATTGGTATTCGGAACTAATTGCATTTTGAACATGGAAGAGGTGGGAGGGTAGGTAAAGGCTGAGTGAGTGCTTGAGCAAGTGAGCCTGCACAGGCAGTTAACAGACAGACAACATCCAGTAAATTACAAATCTGTTAATACCATATAGGCCTACTGAACTTTCTGACGTCAGGTTATGCCAAAATACATAGATACAAAATTTCGCTGTACACACTTCGGATCTTCTAAGACTATAGTATACTGAGTACTTGTAACGGGTCGTGTGCAAATACGCGCGCAGTGTATGTCAGCAATGTCAAAATGTGCAACAAAGCACAGATGTAAGAAAACACCCCCACGTCACTACATGCGGCAAGCCGTTATGTACATGAAATTATAAAAAAAATACAACACTTGTCATCAATCAAATTGTGCATTTGTAGCAAGAATACGGCTACTATAACTACTACGAGAAGGTGTTCCATCTTTAAACACTAAGCCAGGACGGACAGTTGAGATAGACTTGCCGCGGAGCGACTTGTACACAGCCTCCCTCACTTCCGGGTGATCGGATTACGTTTTCCATATAAAGCAGGTTGGTGTCGGGTGCAACAATTCCATGGCGGCTGATTAAGAGCCACTGCACTGCCACCTTCACTGAACTGCAGACCCTCGCCTCCCTCAGCTCGCGGGTTGTGTCTGAAACACCGTAATGTGTAACACGTGGAAGAACGGTATGAATGGCAAAGTGTTCCGATTTACACAATTAAAATACTGACAAAATGTCCAGCAAACGTCTAACCGAAATACATTCTAATGACCAACTCCTTCAGTAGGACGTGTACATGAGTACCGGATATGGTGAAAGTTGTACAATCAATTAATCCTGAGGGTAAACGTTACAGCCACATGCACGTTATGAGGCTCAGTAAAAACTGTTCAAAGGCGTTTACATGCTCAGCAAAGGGAGTTAAGCACAGTAAATCACAGAGAAACGATGTGTCGATATATATTTGGTGCCCTGAGACCCATACTTGTGTATTTGTGTACAAATGTTTGTATGTATGTATGTATGTAACAACCATCGTACGCCAATGATGTAACAGTGTTCATAGCGCTTGACCGTACTCACCACAGGTGGAGGTAGTGCTAACATACTTGCAAATTATTTCATAATAAAATCACCCCTAAAACCAGCATACCAAACTTGCTTAGTAAGATTTCTATCGCGTAAGTGTGAGACAGTGTACTATGAGACATTCTTTGTGGGACGTGTGCAAAATGACCATTCCGTCCCTATATGTCTACCGGTGGCAGGGAACTTAAAGAGAGGTGTGCAAAACTACAAGAATACACTCAGTTAAGTTAATATCGTGTGCAAAATACGTACATAGGCGAATTTTCACCGCTATTCGACAAAGGTTTGGTGCAGTTCACATCTGAAATCAGGTTTCCTATACACTTTCAAGGAAAGGTAAAAAGGTAAGGCACCTTGAATGATTTATTTTGTGTTTATGCCCAGAACCTTGTTCACAATAGTTATTCAAAAGTATTTAGTGAGATTTGAGTGGATTCCTCCTGATAGGCACTTTTGTAACTCGTCTTAATGCAAACTCGTCATGTTACATGTCACTTTGATGATGTCGACTTGCGTTCCATTACTACAGTGTCATGCATATATAACCATGTGTATATAGCACAGATGTATACGGTATTCAATTCCTCAGGAGTTTTTAGAATACAGAATTGAGAAGAAATGCCACTTCAAAAATATAATGTTAGGCATATGTCGTGATGAAGAAATTGTGACTGTGTTTAAGTACTACAGTACTGCATCTGTGCAGTGACGTAGGTTGACGTGTGAGGTTTCCATAAACAAAACAAGAAAATTCAACAAGATTCTTTTGCATATAATACAATGTTCATCCGATTCTTCGGAAAGTGTAAAAAACAAATTCCTGTAAATAAATTCGTCTTCAAAATAGTATTCACTTAAAACGGTAAAAGAGCCGGCAAACCTAAACAAGGGAAGGTAAACAAACGGTGTGTCGAAACCAGGAACTGATTCACATAGGAAGTCCGGCTTGGCCGTCCTATCAGCTGTGAAAATGTACATAACAGGTCGCGTTACCACTGACATATTGGCAGGCTGTACAGGAATGGGTAATATCAAGTGCAACGTGAGACAGAGAGACGAATACCGTGTCTATTTCAGGCTCGAGAGAAACACCTGGCTATGCCAGGGTCGGCTTGTCCTAGCTCACAGTCTCGCTCATCCTTCTCAGTACAGTGTAGTTTGACGTGTTTATAGATATGTATGTAAATACACTTATTTTCCTGTTTTGCCCTGATACCATGTGTTCATGGTAAGGCCTATACAGTACGTGTATATGTATCTATCCGCAATCAGTGTGTGGTACGTTCGATGATGGTTTGTCTGACCGAATAAAACAGAGCTTTTTCATTCTACATCCTCTCATTTAAATGTATTTCTCAACAACATCATTTGTTACCGAGTGTCTCCCAGTGATACCAATGTGCCCCACAGTAATACCAATGTGCCCGGCAGTGATACCAATGTGCCCGGCAGTGATACCAATGTGCCCCACAGTAATACCAATGTGCCCCACAGTAATACCAATGTGCCCGGCAGTGATACCAATGTGCCCCACAGTGATACCAATGTGCCCGGCAGAACGACAAACAACGGTAAACGGTGTTGTATCGCGAAATGAACACAATGTCCTTTGTTCACATGTTAGTTGTTTCAGTTCGCTTTATATCTCAAAAGGGGGTGGGTGGGGGGTGAGGGCCGTGAGCGTCCCCTTCCATCTTCCCCAATATACAGGAAACAACAAGTATGACAAGAAAAGACTCTCAAAAAATACATGTGGCATTAATGTTGTATCCATTCCAGATGTGACAGAATGCCGTTCGTGGTTTAGCAACAATACTCGATTATGAATTGATATCACTAGGCCTAGATTATCCCAGTGCAGTATGCACCTATACCAGTGGGATATCAACAATGAATAGATGTATTTGTTCCAGGAAAACCGAATAATGCCTTGATGTATCAATGATGAATATGTGTAATGCCAAATCATTTCGGGGAATATACATGCCTAATAAATAGTTTCCACACTCCCTTCCATTATTATATTCTTTTCACGCCTCAGTAAGCATATGATATATATCATATATCATAAGAAAAACATATATCCTTGAACTGATGTTGTCCCATCTTATTAAAAGCTTTTAAAAACGTCATCACTATTGCAGTCAGATACAGCTAAACCTGTCCTTGAGCTTCAAAACATGTGCTTAATTGCAACATAAATTCTTGGTTTGCGTCCAATAGTTGTTGGAATCCAGGCAAGAAGCACTTACCTTTGCTTTCTTTCACCTCGACGTCGGCTACGTCAGTGGCTCCAGCAGTGATCACATCATCACTGACTGTCTTATAGCTTTAGATTCAGTACCATACACCATTTCCTTCTTCAAAAGAGAGATGGTCAGATCGGTGTGTATCCGGGACGGACTGTCGTTATACCGAATGGAACTGGTGTCTAGCGGTTTTAACGCCTGACAGTTTTCCAGTGATATCATGTCAGTATGTCAGCTCACTGTGGGAGGAAAGTGATGGACCTCTCAGATGTTTACCACGCAAGTCAAAACATTGCTTACACAACAGTCTCGTTTCCTGCTGACTGAGCTCCGTCCTATTGCTTAGTACAATAACAGGTCCAGAATTTTTAGACCAATTCATTCAACTGGATATATAAATATTAATCAGCATTATTTGACACATCTAAGCACTTGTATGCAACACTACGCTCCTTCTAATCCTTGCAAACACGTCGTGCAGCGTGCTCTGTCGTACAGCGTGCTCTGACAAACGAAAATCTGGAAATCGTGGAAATCTCAAAACGAGGCTCGGCCGCTAGAAAAAAATGGCGGTCTAGTACGGACTTAATATTATATCAATCACATTGTACGTTAAAAAAACTACACTGAATAAGCGCAAAGAACACATTACATGTGAAACCAGTCAGCCAGATGAATTGTGATTCATTTTACGACCTCATAAACAGGGGCAGTCTGTGACGTCTTAGTTAAAATCATGCTGTCTAAACCTCGCCATAAAATATAGAAATACGATTTATAAAAGTTTTATAAAAGTTTAAAATAAAAATTCATTTGTAAAGACCATTTTCTTATGGAACAAGGAATTGGAATTCAGTGTAACCATAGTTGTTTGTAGTGTCTCTTTTCACTTTCACACGAGAAAATTCGCATCGGCTGAAAAGTAGGTCATTGTCTTAATAGGTTAATGAGACTCATGTTTCGGTTTGTGGTGACACACAACAACAGTAACGCTGCTGCAGAACTTACACACAACATCACGGCGACGGCCTCACGTCATGTGAACACCAATTGTTGTAGCCGCGCCGTCATATTACTGGATTGTTGCTAAAAACGGCGTGAACCATACTTACTAACTCACTTATACCGTGCCTGAGCATTTATATGGATCAGTCTATAGCCGCCAGTGTAGCTTGTGTAGTGACACGATGCATTTTGCCTCCGAGCAGCACTGTAATGTACACACAATAACTGACACAGGCTATCAACACACGAAGGAAGTGTATGAATGTTATGTTGCTGATAACAAAGTACACCAAACTCGTATGGAAAGACATGTCACAACTTTATCAAAGATGTATCGAAAATACCTGATTCAATGAAATCTCATTTGAAATTCTCAATTATATCCGTATGAAAAGAACAAGTGTCTGACATGTCCGTCATTTTGTGAAGAGATGCCTTAGTGCTGGCTGATGGACCTATTGATTTCGCAAGCAACCATCTGCATAAAGTGGCTTTACCATAAGTTACCTACTGGATAAAGTGGCTTTACCATAAGTTACCTACTGGATAAAGTGGCTTTACCATGAGTTACCTACTGGATAAAGTGGCTTTACCATGAGTTACCTACTGCATAAAGTGGCTTTACCATGAGTTACCTACTGGATAAAGTGGCTTTACCATAAGTTACCTACTGGATAAAGTGCACTGGCCAGTGTAGTATCCAAGTGAACAGTTACAAAATGTGGTAAGGTTAAATACAAAACATGACAAAGTTTAATCACAAATTTTACAAAGCTGAATCGTTGAGAGACGAGAGAAAAACGCTGTCAACATCTGATAAAAAGCATTTATAATCGCCCACGTGCAACTTGCTTGCTCGACCAAACAAAGCACGCGCAGCCACAAAGACCAGTGTCGATTCCAACATCAAGGAATTACACAGAAAATGCAATGGACAATCGACCCCAAACCCCCTTGCAGCACCCGTCCCTACCCTCGGTTCACTCCGCCCCAACCCTCCGTCCACCCGCCCCCACATTCCGTTCACTCCTCACCCGCGCTCCGTCCACCCGCCCCCCACATTCCGTTCACTCCGCCCCAGCCCTCAGATTATCGTGTGCGCTACATTGAAACATCCCTTCTTTGAATCCTTGTCTGGTGATTTCATCTGGTCAGGACTTTTTAGAAATGCAAGTGTGAAGAAATCTTATCACCGTGTTCTGTCATTAGGACACATTGCAGGACACATTTAATGATAACGGTCTTGTTCACAGAATACAACATTTAGGTTTTATCGCGTTTGAGGTAAATGGGAGAGATCGGTGGTCGAATATATCTCTTCCTCTTCCCTGATTAGCTGCAGCATCCAACTAGAGCCGGGATGTTGTTTGCAAGCTAAGAACAATCTATTTCTGGCTCGTCTACCTGGTGGCTTGGCAGACCTCCAGACTCTTGCTCTAGGCGTACTTGTTTACGAAAGTTCGATTCGCTGATGACCCCGGTCAGTGTGGGGGACGGGTCTCTGCCACAAGGCTGGATAGTGGCATCACAATACACCCTTTACTCTACACTTACAGACATGAATCCTGTACTACTGCATCGTTATGCAACAGAATCCTGGTGATGTCTCATGTGGTATGTGGTGGTGCTCTGGGGTTAGATGGGGTGGAGGTGGTGGGTTGCATTAACTTGAACTCACACTGATGAGGAGATGGCGATACTGTTTTGTTCAGGTGAACATTAATCATGTACCATAAAGTATGTAACTGTATATACAGTTAATCCCAAAAGTGTTACCTATTTTAAGTGTAGATCGACAGTTGGCGACAAGACAGAAAGAGAGTGTTGATTCTTTTACATGTAATCCACACTCTATAAAGTGACTAGACGTATTTATTATAATAAAATATTAGGAAAATGTACACAGAACATGTCAGAAATACTTACCGTGACATGTACATATCATTTCATAAATACATTGAAAAAGTCTAGATTCCATGCGTTATTCTTATCCATGGGTTGTACATTTCATGGGGCAAACTATAGCAAAGATACTGCAGGACCGATTCCATTATCTAGAGTAATGCCTTGTCTGTGGGCCACGATGCATAATGTAAAACTATGGGTACCTCTGCGCCTCAGGTTTTAGTCAGGCATACATACTCTTTGAATGAAGTCTCCTAAAATATTCTTTTCTTCGTTCCAGAGCTAAAAATCAACCATGCCTTTCGTACCCAAGGAAATGGCCAAGTGTCCAAAATGCAGCAAGTCTGTTTATGCGGCCGAGGAAAGACTTGCCGGGGGTTTCAAATGGCATAAAGTGTGCTTCAAATGCGGTAGGGAACCTGACAACTATTTAAGTGTCATAGAATATACCGTCTTATCTTTAACTCGATAAATACTACTTCTATATATTTGGAAATGTTGGAAAAACTGATCTGTTTTAGTAACATCAAAACGCGTGGACATACAAAATAATAATGTACATTTTTAAATCTAATAATGGTTACACAGAATACACCCAGGAACATCCCGGAGGGCGAGGGCCGCTCCACACCAGGAGCTACGTACAGTCTGTATATAAGCAATAAAGCTTTAGTGTGTAGGAAAACTGGGTTAAATTATAGCGTAAGCATGGGGGTAGGGGCTTCATAACGGGATATTCAAACTATACGTACCACATATCGAATAACTGTCTACCAGATAGTCTTGTAGCACATTGTTTCACTTGCTCTACTACGGGACAACTTCTTGACCGGGGTTACCGTTCATCGTAGCGCTAGATACATTGGGTAGGCCACGTGGTTGGTGCTAAATATGTTGGGTAGGCTCTGATTGGCGGAGACGTCCGTCATCAGTAGGTGAACTTTGACCCATGTCAGAGGTCGTTCTAGAGCGCTATATAAGTGACCTGGCTCTCTGGATTCAGTGTCTAGCTTTCGGTCATCCGAGCATCAGGTAATATCTCTGAGGTCCCGAGGTCCTGTTTCAGGATCATTCCCTCCCCGTTTACAGAGTGGAATGTTAGGTTTTATGTAGGGGGATGCTAAGTTCGTGTTAGGTCGGGTTGGGGGAAAAGTAGAAGTAGGAAACGGAATAGGTATTAAGCTTTAGACTTTGGGTAATGTCCAGTTAAACGGGGTTGGTTTGGGGTGGCTTTTCAGAAGACGTTTCTATATGGATTGTTAAAATGGGGAAGTTAGGTTCCTTTTAAACTAGTGTTAGGTCGGGTTGGGGGAGAATTAGGAGTAGGAAACGGAATATAAATTAGGTTATAGACTTTGGGTAATGTCCAGTTAGACGGGGTTGGTTTCGGGAGGTTCTATTTTGAAGAGGTTATAGGGGTTTGGTCTTTTTCCTCACGAAGCTGGTTTTTCTTAAACTTAATTATGTGAGTGAGAGAGAAGTGTAGTTTACAGACTGTTAGGTATTTGTTTGTCTTTTGTAATAAATTATTATCAGTGTTATTTTGTGTTAGTCATTTCCTAATAGACTTTAAGCCCGATTCATAAACTGGTCACTGAGTTTTGAGTAGAGAACAGATCAACCCGAACGCACACCTATAAAATAAAAGTACACAACGCAAAGTCCAAACAAGGTTGATTAAACAGCATGTTCCTACACACTACTTAACTTAACTCAGCTGTCACTGGGCGATGGTAGTCTACTGAGAACCACGCCTATTACAAGTGTATAGCTGTCTCCCGGTATGTGACTTTGACTACTGGGTTTCTAGATACTTGCAACAAGGCCCTCGACAGCACAAACGCCAACTGCCACGAGGCCCATCTCTACTGCAGGTCATGCCACGGCAAGCAGTTTGGACCCAAGGGATACGGTTTCGGCGGTGGCGCAGGCGCTCTCAGCACAGAGACGGGTGCTCAGTTTGGTGTGAAAACGGCCGAAATGAGGTAACGACGCTGTAGATCACTTGTTCCAACACGGTCTCATGTATCGGTGTATTATTATAACATATTTTATAGGCATGAAACAGTAATTTGAACAGCTATCTGCATGTATGCTTTAATCGTTGACTAATAACTTGATTGGGTAACACCCCCTTATCTCTGTTATTTATCTAGCACCCTACTCACCGTCTCCAGGGGTATATAATAATAATAATGAGTTCATTTATATGGCGCCAACTCCATACACTATGTGTATGCTCATAGCGCTACAAATATACTACACTATTAACTCAGTCAGTGGGTATATGTTGATTATTTCAGCAATAAACCAACTCAAGCCGTTGTTGGGAGTGTCGGCACTGGTCCCAAATGCCCACGTTGTGGCAAATCTGTCTACGATGCCGAGAGAGCCATCGGTGTCAACATCGTAAGTACCATGATAAACCATTCGCATTAGCACTGTCGTTCTACTTGCTAGCAGAGACAACAAACGCAATTCATAGTCGCCCACCAAGTGCATATTAGATCAGGTAATCAGTCACATCACATACATGTCATTTCTTTTTCAAATCAATGAAATTCACATAATTCGACATATACCCGTGAAGATCCGGGTTCAGTAATCCATGTTTGTCGTAAGAGGCGACTAACGGGATCGGGTGGCCAGGCTCGCTGACTTGGTTGACACATGTCATCATATCCCAGTTGTGTAGATCGATGTTCATGATGCTGATCACTGGATTGTCTGGTCCAGACTATACAAATCATAAACACATCATGATCCAAGCCAAACGCAGGCATCCCAGTCCTGTTACCCTATCATTGGACTTTAGACGACACATACCGTCAAGATATGGCAACGCAGAATCGCGGATGCGTACGTAAAATGATCAATACATTTGATCTTAATAACATAAGCAATTGCAACTTGCCTTTGCCCGTAAATCCCGAGGTAAACAGCTCCATTCACAGAATACCGAGGGACTGTGTTCGTACAAGGAGTAGCAGCACCAAGTACAGAATACACTGCATCTACTGTAGATGTACTGTATCCACATAATGCACATCGCCACAGCATTCAGGCCTGGTCATACAAGCTCTGTGACGAACACATTAACGGGGATGTACGTGTTCAAGTATACAAGCACCTGTTGTGCTGTCTTAAACGCCATACTCACGTCATCCTGATGGCTGCCATCAGGTTAACTATCAATGATGTCACTCCCAAACACCGCTTAAACAAATATATATATTTAATATAACAGGTTTTTATAATTCCTTCTCGGCACAACCACTTACACACCCCCAGTTGTGCAAATTACTTATACCTGTAAGATCTAACTGTTGAGAACGTTCAACAAATAGGCCATGCACAGATAAATAAATATACTTAATTTCCTTCATTGTCATGAAGGACAGTACACAAACACAACAACACGCAATACAAAATAGTCAGTTAGTCAGTCATAAGACTGGGTTGTACACGGATATTGCTGATCTATACATTTCAGTATGTACGTGATACAGGTATAATCACTAGATGGGGTCTGGGCATATATTATACATACCCTACATTTGTGAACGAATTCAAATAATTTTAAACTTACTTAAATCCAAACCTGAAAGTATAAATGCTTGAGTTCATTAAGTTCCCCACTTGCAATAAAGTTCATGATCTTCTCATCAGCCTGGTCACAGAATGTAACAATACCCTGCACTGATAGAATTGATGCAAGTGCCTCAAAGACGCTATTTCTGTCTTGAGTGAGCGTTGCACGGTCAAGTAGTTACATGGTTTTACAGTTTTCTACATATTTGTCACATTAGGCACAATGTCTCGCAAAGATTTTCATGCTTGCTATTTTCACAACACATGCTAATTTTACTTGGTAGTTAATTCGGGATGGATAAGAGAGCAGTCAAACAGTTCAGGTACAGTAGTCAGAATAGATCTGTACATATATAGTTTTCGTGGATGAAAGTGTCTATGAATTCCCCACGTGTTACATAGGTTTTCATCACATCGTTTAGGTTATACTTGAGAATAAAATCAAACAGTTCTGAGACAAAGTCTTTCATTAGGTCATCAATAAAAACAAGAAAAAGATATGCAGATATAACACTACCTTGCACGACACCACGTGAGATATGGAATAAATCTGACGAACACCCCTGAAACACAACATATGCTTGCGCTGTACTGTATCAGTAACGGGTAAGTCGCCAGCATTTTGAGTTTATGCCCAGGTCAAACAATTTGCAATCGGCCATATTCGGCCAAAAGCATTTTCGTTATCCAAAAACGTTGCATAAAGAGAAGTTGATGTATCGTGTCTATTACCAGATCAACAGACCCTGTACCTACGTGGGTATGCTGTACGGGTTCTTCGCACAAATGATCATCACAGGGTGACGTGCTACTCAACAGAAGGTGCTACCCACTACGTGGTACCTGGTCAATTGTGTAGTGACTCCACAAACTTAGTAGCTGACAAATACATCCCTTACTTGTGACCCCAGACAGACACAAGAGGACAGCACCCCTCTGAACACAAACATGCACATTCATGTGCACCTAGCACAAGACTTTCCTATCTCTCAAGCCTCCAGCAATGGTAACCACCCAGTTCCTCTCTCCTCCCCATACCACAGATAATGCGTCACACCTGCCGCCAGGGTAACAGGTTGGCAGGGTAACAGGTAGATCCATTACCCTATAAGGGCCCCATTGGCATGGCGCTGATGGAACGTGTCATCAGCTATCTTTGTCATGTAGTCTCATGTAGTCTGTTCTCTCGCTCTCTTCACATTCACTCAAACACCTGTGACGATGATCGAGAGCCGCGAGAGGCAAGACATGACCCTTTATACGACACATATGGCACCTGACTTAAACCTAATTAACCAGTGATATTATAATACAAGACTTTTCTTCCGTGACAACAGTTGAGAAACCTATAGAGTGTTAAACGGAATGTTGTAACCACAGCAAACATTTAATGTCAGAAGATGTTAATGTCGGCATATGAGGCCGTGTTTAATGATTATCTCTCTCAATACAAGGTATCAGAAGACCTCTGGTGAAATATAATTAACATATGTATCAAAGTCAATCGCCACAGGTTCAGATGAGATTCATGTCACTAAAGACTTGCTCAAATTTGTTTAAAATTTAACATATGATCAACATCATGCAGCATCAGCTGAAGCATGCGAACACCTAGTTGTTTGCTGTGAGTATGTCATGAATACACAATACCATTTATGCAGTGGTTATATTTGAGTCCCGTCCGGGATTTCCAACACACAAAGTCAGCCATCTAACCCACTCAGCTACCGCGGTTTCCACTGAAAAACGTGTTTGAAAAGAAGTAATTAAATGTTTGCGCTTACAAACACAGTCCACGGAATAATGCTCATGCGGGCATGTGGAGGATGAATAAATATTGAAATGTTTACTGTGTGAAGTGTCATGTTGTGATGTCGATGACCTTTCTAAAAGTCGCTTATATAGCATGTGAATAGTCGACGGTGCAGCAAACATACATTACAGGTTATTCATATTTTTCGTGCCATGATCCTTTATAAGTATGTCCGTGTTTAGTAGAACCTAATCTCCTGATGTTCCTCTTGTTAATGCCGTTGCAATCTGTTGCATACCAGCCATGGCACAAAGCCTGCTTCCGATGCCAGGACTGCAAGAAGGCCGTGGACTCCACCACTATGGCCATGCACGAGATGGAACTCTTCTGTAAAGGTAGGTGTGGAAATATCTATCTAAATCATAACTAAAATTGACATGTATACATTAGCCCAATGCAAAATAGTTTCCCGCTTGACTCCTTCCGCAGTACTATGCCGTGCATCATAGGAATAGCATGACGTTTTCAATTGCCACCAATAAATGTGTTGTTTATATTCGTAATAATGTTATTGAGTTTACAATGTCCACTTTAGAGATCGCCCTGGCTATCAGTTCTTTTAACATAATTGTAGACACATCTTGAATCGTTTGATGTGCCATGATTTCTGAAGAAAAGTTTCAGTATGGTATATATCAGATTGGATGTATTTCTATTTCATCAACGTGAAACATAAACCTGAGCCCTTGTAGCGTAAGTATGGACAGATTTTTTTACAAAGGTATATTAAGGATGACTTTACTTTATTTTTACAGGATGCTACGGTAAGCGTCATGGACCGAAGGGTTTTGGATTCGGTGGGGGGGCCGGAGCCCTGAGCATGGGTCAGTAACAACGCTGTGGGGGCAAAAGGGGGAGCTTGTATCCCCATGCTGTACACGGTGCCATCCTCTCGGAAATACAGTCCCCTCAGACGTGTCACCCGATCACCGGAAACAGTTCGATTCCACCATGTTGCTTTTCTACATGTTTCAGATGAGATTCATAATTGTTGGAGATAAACACATCAAATCACGGCAGCGCACTGGGACTTGGCAAGGAATGTCAGACCGTCTTTCACGTTGAGGCAGTAGAGTTATCAGCAGATGATAACTCTTTGCCATTTCACCCAAATCCACTTGTGAAGACGGATTAAGTTTCAGTGATGCTCCCCACCATAGACCGTTACTCACATTGCCTTGTCTATTAGACTGGCTAGACAGTTACTTCCCTACCCTGCCTGGCCCTTCACGTTTGCCTGACTCCTTATTCGCACAACTGTTGTAGATTAACGTTATCGTCCTGGTAAGGAAATCCTTTCTCACCCTTTACTATTGTATGAAGTTCACTAATGTGCAGCTACCGTAGTTATCTTCATGCGTGTACATATTGTCGTTTAATAAATTGTTCGGAGTATAAAGCTGTACTTTGTATTGTGTGTGATGCTGTAAACCATGGGTAGCAACAGTAAAGACAGATATTTCAGACTGTCAGAAACAGTTGTCGTCAAATGCAGTTCTTAATAACCATTTATTGCCGAGGAATGTCATAGATGGGAAAGCAGAGTAACATGTGGCGTTACAGCTGACGGTGACCGTCAGTGTTTTAATGATTTTTTACAAGGAGTTAAAGAGCCTAATTAATGTCACGCAATAATCTGTCATCAGTTGGTGCCTTTGGTTGGAACAATCTTGAACTGAAGTGAATGCAATCGTTGATACTTATTTCCCTGTTTCTGACACCATGGCAAATGTTGGTCAAATTGAGTAGTCAGAACACAAAAGCTAATAGTACAGTACGATGAAGATAAACATATTACTGTATTGTGATACTGTACGCTGTCATGTAATGAAGAATGCAATATTGCATAGGTAGCACGATGAGAGCTGCAGGCCTATACCCGGGCCTATACCCGAGCTAGTATCCGGGCATACCGACACGTCAGGTAATGTGGTAATACTCATGAAACATTAGGGAGGAGTGATATGTTATAGAATACATGAGGGATCTGTGACTGTTTTAGAAAACGTAAATCCAATGTAAATCACAAAGTCACAAACTGGAAGGGAAGTGGGGCTGCGGTTGTACACGTAGCGACAATCTGGAAGGGAAGTGGGGCTGTGGTTGTACACGTAGCGACAATCTGGAAGGGAAGTGGGGCTGCGGTTTTACAGGTAGCGACAATCTGGAAGGGAAGTGGGGCTGTGGTTGTACACGTAGCGACAATCTAGAAGGGAAGTGGGGCCGCGGTTGTACAGGTAGCGACAATCTGGAAGGGAAGTGGGGCTGCGGTTGTACACGTAACGACAATCTGGAAGGGAAGGGGATCTGCGGTTGTATACGTAGGCACAATCTAGAAGGGAAGGGGGACAGCGGTTGTATACGTAGGCACAATCTAGAAGGGAAGGGGGGCAGCGGTTGTATACGTAGGCACAATCTAGAAGGGAAGGGGGGCAGCGGTTGTATACGTAGGCACAATCTAGAAGGGAAGGGGGACAGCGGTTGTATACGTAGGAACAATCTAGAAGGGAAGTAAGGCTGAGGTTGTATACATAGGCACAAACTTGAAGGGAATTGGGGGTTAGGTAGCATGCGTATTGACAATCTAGAAGGAAAGTTGGGCTGAGGTAGCATGCGTATTGACAATCTAGAAGGAAAGTAGGGCTGAGGTAGCATACGTATTGACAATCTAAAAGGAAAGTGGTGGGGAGGTATCATGCGTATTGACAATCTAGAAGGGAGGAAGGGCTGAGGTAGCATACGTATTGACAATCTAGAAGGGGGTAGCGCTGAGGTAGCATACGTATTGACAATCTACAAGGAAAGTGGGGTGAGGTAGCATGCTTATTGACAATCTAGAAGGGAGGTAAGGGTGAGGTAGCATACGTATTGACAATCTAGAAGGGGGGTAAGGGTGAGGTAGCATACGTATTGACAATCTACAAGGAAAGTGGGGCTGAGGTAGCATACGTATTGACAATCTAGAAGGGAAGTGGGGCTGAGGTAGCATACGTATTGACAATCTAGAAGGGAAGTGGGGCTGAGGTAGCATACGTATTGACAATCTAGAAGGGAAGTGGGGCTGAGGTAGCATACGTATTGACAATCTAGAAGGGAAGTGGGGCTGAGGTAGCATACGTATTGACAATCTAGAAGGGAAGTGGGGCTGAGGTAGCATGCGTAGGACAATATGGAAGGGAGGAATCACGATCATCGCCAAATAGAAGCGTACTTAACTCACACAATACAGTTCTTGTGTTCGAATTTACACATCTTGGGGAAAATGGGTTCAGTATATATTTCTTTGAACATATAAAGCATTCCAGAATTAAGTTACTTGACTGACTTTTGTTAACAAATAACTTTTCTCATTGTACATACATCAATTAAACATGAAAACATTTTAAAATTATAACAGTCTTTTCATAATTACAAATATTAGCCGTATAACATACACTAAACCCAATCCTTTGGTAAATCAAATGCTTTCAATATTTGAAAGTCAGGTTATGTTTTCAGTATTTGTTTCTTTAGGCTGTTAAATAACAGGCCATTTCTAACATATACATTTTAATCAGATTCATTCCAAATAACGTGTTAATGAATTGTCTCTGGGCAAAGTGGAGGTTTTAAATGTTTTGGCAAGCTATAAAACCATTACATCTTTGCTCTCAAATCAATACTATCACCTAAAGCTCCGTGGACTGTTGTACTTCTGTGATCAGTAAACAGGCCATGCTAACATGAAACAAAGGCGCCCCACTGTAGTCGTCACGTCTCCACGTTTACTTAACACTGAAACACCAACTATCTCTCCTTCTTAATGAACATAGCCGAGGGGGACTTCATGGCCGATCTACTTGAAATAGGATTTGTTTTGAAAAAATCCGAAATATTTTAAAACCTCCTCGCGAATCGTGCCAGGGGATACGTAAAATACAAGGCTGCGGCCATTTGTTTATACCTCGTAAAATATCCATCGGAGACAAACTGAGATAAACTCATTTTGTTTACTCGTTGTGACTTGAACCAGCAAACAACTCTCAGAGTTACCTCTCCTTGTATGAACTCTAACTTCGGGGCCCGGGAAGTCGACACGATATCATTCAGGTTTCTTGATCAAACGCCCAAATCACGTCTGGACAGTTAGGTCTATCAAATGTTATTGTTTTCTTCGAGCTGGTCAACTATGTTGGAAGGTTGTGTACCGGAAAAACAACTTGAGAAAACCCATTTAAACAAAAGTTTAATTTTAGAACTCGCCGTTCAGCGGTATGTGTAGGAGGCCGCAGGTAAGATTTGTTTCGTTCTAGTTACAATTTGGGGATTCAGCTGTGTATTGTATTTTTCCATTGTTTTATTTTGAAGTACAAAATAGCTATTACTTCATGGACAGGTATATTTGTTTGATTGTACAGGTGATAATGAAATGTGTACAGACAGTGTTAGTGTTTGTCGTATTGAGAATAAGATTACATGAATATGGCTTATGATTAACTTGAGGTGTATTAATGGCAAAGTAAATGGAAACAATGACAGGGGCACAGTGGTGATCGCAACGGATTTTAAAAAAACGTAACTGAGAACAATAGACGTATTAGCTTTCTTTCTGTGATACGTTTTCGGACAACGTGCGGAAATAGTTTTAAAATATTAAGTGATTATACGATCTTCATATATTTGAAGTCGTCTTTATTGAACATATACATATTATACAACCACCTGGCCTTGCTATCTATAATTGTAGAGATTATAAATGTAGAGATAGAGGTGACTGAAATCAGGAACTCACGACAAAGTTTAATATTTGATATGCAAATCAGTTTCGAATACTGGTAAACATGTTCCAAAGCAGACATGTACGCGAGCGGGTGACAGGCGTGATTGATTGATAAAAGGAAATCGATCGATCATGCTGCTGCTGAACCACTGAGAGTATGTGGTACAAGTCCGATCAGGTGATATATCATGCATGTAAGGAAGTGCTGCGTGCCCCTGGCTTGTGGAGGATTCCATCAGCTGCTGGTGGAGTTGGTTAGCCACAGTAGATTGTTCGCGGTAAATATCAAGGTACACATAGTGACCCAGGCCGAGGACTTCTACATACTGTAAGAACAACTTGTCAACGTGAGAAAACTGTGAGTGAAAATATTGAACAAAACCATTGTGTATTTGGGCACGCCTTATTAATGTGCCAATATTATCGTTTCGTGCATATTGCTATTTATTTCATATGTCCCCGTAAAATTAAGTTTTGAAGATTTTCAACCTTATGTAGTATTACCATAAGTTTGTGTTTGCCACTCATGTGCAATTAACCAATGCTGCCTTACTATAAAAAAAGTACTGTCGGAAATGCTAGAAAAATGCTTTTTGACTTATATTTAAAATTCAGAGGTATTACAGTTACTTAAATAACAAATATCACTTCAAGAAACATCTACCTAATGTAGACCGAGGGAATAAATTTTGAGACATGCTCTAAAATGTGTTTTTTACTGATGGAAATACAAAAAACTTAGAAAAATAAGGGGTAGTTGGACGTTATTTGAAACAAACATTAACTGCCTGTGTTACGTCATCAGCATGCACGGTATCGACAGGTGAAATTGACACCTGAGCACACGCTCGGGGCGAGGGGTCATCTCAATAGATGTTTTCTGCAAAATGTTGAATATGTGTACGTATAGTATACGTATCAGTTATGTAAGGGATCATTTGTGTATGTGTGTTTGTTTTGAAATAAACAAACGAATTACTGTACATTGGAAAGAATCCTATCACTTGTGTTATCTTATCGACTGCTTGTAGAAATGTGCAACGTTTTAATAAATGTTTTGCTTGTCAACAGTATATTTCATTGAAAAAATATGGATATAATTCGGTCAGTTTAATCTAGTTGTGAACATTGGCCAAAGATTTAACGAAGTCACTGGTGTAGCTTCTTTAGAATATATATATTTTTCTTCTCATAAAGTTTGTAGACCGCCCGTCTAAGCACTCCCTTGTCAAAGTTGTCAAGGATGGTTTTACGTCCCGGTTTTGCATTTGAGACGGTCCCTGTCTTGTCTGATTTGTTTACAATATTGTAAACTTGTTGGTAAGACATGCCAACAGCTCTACAAGTTCTGTAATAAACCCTTTCTAAACTAATGAAAGGTTTACCTCTGTCTTTTTTAAGCAGAAAAACCTATAAACCTTTGCAACAATCGACTGCAAATCGTTGGCCATAGTGGACGCTGTGATAAAGATGTGCATGCATGACGGGAAACTTATTTATCAAGACTTAACATTTATATTAATATTTCTTCAATAAAGAAAACGATACTTTAGTAAAGTAACACAAACATTCAACATTTATTTGTTTAGGATAAACGTTAATTCATATTTTTACACCACCTGTATTATTAGCATAAA